AACAGACAAGTTGCTGTCCTTTTGTTCTTCAGTCTAGTTGTGGAGGATGTCGCTTCACTGGCCCATGTTGGTATTGTGATCATTGCACTCTTCCCAGGTGAGGTAGTCGCTCGCCGGCCATTGGACGGCCGCTCACAGTGGCTCTTGGCAGCTCACAGCAGCTCATGCTGGCTGCCAGCTGCTCACGGTAGCTTTACAACAGCCCACTGCAGCCTCACGGCAGCCCAGCTCCAGGTTGAGCTGTTGTTCAGCATCTTAGCTGTAGAGGGCGCAGTGTCACTGGCCCTCCTGTGGGATCCGAACCAGGGCCTTGCTGCTCAGAGCTGACATCCCAAGCCAACTCTTAACCAACGCACCACTTGGCCAGCCCACAAATGTCTTTTTAATTGGCTTGTTCTATCATGATCCAAATAAGGTCCATGCATTCCACTCAATTATGTCTTTAAAGCTCTTTTATCCTCAAAAGTTTCTACCGGGCACATACTAGGTACTCACTCAACATTATGAATGCTTACTGGGAATAAGCGAAATAAGAGAGGTTTGATCCCCACAAACGTGACAAGCAGGCAGCACTACGCTTGGGAGGCCACAGGCTCCAGCCTTGCTGTCCTTGGGGAGATCACAACTCCAGTCCTCAGATCTTGGGTAAATCACAGACTCTAGCCTTCCATCTTGGCCAGACCACAGGCTCCAGCCCTGGGATTCTGGGGGAGACCACAGGCTCCAGCCCTCAGATCTTGGGGAGATCACAGGCTCCAGCCCTCAGATGGTGGCAGACAGGACTGCAAGCCAGACAGTACTGAAGCAGGAGCCAGGCCACAGTTCCTGGGGGCCTCGCTGGAGGGACAGCAGCGAAGGGATAGAACAAGTGCCCCTTCTCTTCCAGCACCTCAGCTCCTTTGTGGCACATATATAGTAGCACTGACCTTCGTCGGATTCATGAAAACGTCGGATTTATGATCTGTGGCTGTGTCCCGAAAGTTTTCCTAGGTGCTGTTCTTATTTTGTTGTTTTGTGTTTTATTTTGAGAAAACTGAAGATGATAGGACAGTGCAAAGAAAGCCAACATACACCCAATCATCCAACATCAACACTGCTAACGTTTTGTCACATTTGCTTCCTGGGTTTTGTTTTTGTTTTAATAAAACTCACAGATAGCTATGGAGGCCGCTAACCACCGCGCCTGCTTCCTTCTCCCCCTCCTTCACCGCTACCGAGCAACAGCATGAGAGGGCGAAGCCTTCCAAACCGCTGTTTTAACCATCGGTTTCTAACGTACCTGCAGGTGCATGTTGACGTGCTTTTGCCCTTACGCTATTTACACTTAACCAACACTGAGCGCGCTGTGCCCGGCACCGTGCCAGGAGCTGGGCTGCAAGGAGAACAGGGCAGACGACCGCCCAGGCCTCACACTGACTACCAGAGCAAAGGGCGGCCCAAAATGCGAAATAAGCACCTAGAATGGAAAACCAGTTGATGAGCCGCAACGTCCCGGACCTTGCGCACTTCCGGCGCCCAACACGCCCCCCATGCTTCCTCCCCATTGGTTTTCCCCTTGACCACGCCCCCAGGAGTCTCCGCCCACTGTTCCCTTCAACTTTCACCTCTTCACCTTCTGGGGCTCCGAAAGGCCTCAGACCCTGCCCACCCTCCATGACCCACATTATTGGTGATTACTGTCCGTCCATCAGAGGAGAAGCGGTCGCGGATTGGCTGTGAGGAAGTAGTTGAGCGGGAAGCAGGCACAGAGTCTGCGCGAGTTGCTAGCCCTTGAGGGGCCGGGCCAGCGACCTTTGCGCATGCCCGGTACGTGCACGGTACCGGCGCGGGCGGCAGTCATGGCGGGTCGGTGCGTGAGTCTGGCTCGGCGAAGCCTCCCTGCTTTGGCGTTGTCTCTTAGGTAAGGGGAACCTGGCTGCGCTGGGCCGAGGAGGGTCGCGGTCTTCAGTGCCGCACTGTCCGGGTCTGGCCCGGGAGCTGGGCGCCGTGGGCCGCGGACACCCGCCGGGGGTATGCCCTGCGGCTGGGCTCCCTGACACGGCCCGCGCTGACCCCCGCGCGCGTGGCCCTCGGCCCGTGTACAGCCCCCGCGCGCGCGCCGGAGCCAGGCCGCCAGCAGAACCGGGCGCGTGGGCCCGGGCAGCGGAAGGCTGGGTCCCCATCGGCTCTCGCCCGGAACACTGTGTGGATCCCAAGCTCCCGTCCGCGGTTCACGGGCTTTTTCCACTCGGCCCGAATTTTTGCTCCACCTCCGTCTTTTCCGGAGTCTGAGGTCAGAAGTGCAACGGAGCCTGCCCCTCGGTGGGGAGAGGAGTTTATTTAGACAAGTTCAGTGACTCCACAGTGAGAGCCACGAGAGTCGATGCCCTCACCTTGTTGTTTTTCTCCTTTTTTTCTTTTTAACCTGTGGCTTCTGCTTTTTGAAAGTTCTACCTCCTAAGTTATTTTGGCAAGTACTCAGTATCTCCTGTGTGGGAGGAGCTGCCAGAACCAAGTTACTTTTCAGAGACGCTGCTTTGGGGCAAACACTGGGTAGGAGCCGGGCAGAGCGAACCTCGTCTTTCCCCTCGAGGAGCTACTGGCGTGAATGGGGAGCCCAGGTAGGCAAGGCGGACATTACAGAGTGCAAAGGGATTGAAGGGTCACTGCGAGCCTAATAAGTTACATGAAACAGAATATGGGACGAAGAGAGCAGTGACCCGCCTGGAATACCTGAGTAAGAAGGTTTTCTGCTCAAGTAATGTGTGGCTTTTTATCTGGAGTTAATCGCACGAATAAAAATCCAGTGACAGGTTGTTGCTCCCTACCCGTCATCAGACTAAGGAATCCTTGCACCCCTCGCTACAGGCCTACGCGTCTGCACACACACAGGTTTCAGGTGTCTTTACACACGTGGGCTCATGTTTTGTGTATTTCTGTACATGGCATTGCTTGCTGCACAGTATTCAGATTGTGGAAGCAACCGTTGACGCCATGTCGTCTGTTTCCAGCTTAGCACTCCACTACAGTGCTGCTGCGGACATCCTTGTACATTTATTCTCCGTACTGATGGCTTTCCTGTTCACTGAGGCGGTTTTCTCTAATCTGGGGAGAAAATTGAATCGTTTATTTTCAGATTGGACTGTGGCATAATTAAGAAGAGCTCCACTGGTCCTCGTGAAGAAATCTGGCTATTTTTTATATTTTAAGGCTATTCTGTCATTTATTAATGGCTTTGTGACCTTGGGCTTATCGCTTAACCTTTTTCATGTGGGGATCAGACTGGATAATATCTAAGTCACTTCCTGGCTCAGTTGGCGAGCTCTGCGTGTGTCCCTGTATTTCCCCGTGCTCCTCCCCTTCCCTTCCTGAAGTGGTTCTGTCGCCCCCGACGCCTCACCTATCCTGCAGAGCCCTGCACAAAGCCTTCCGGTCTTCCCTTTCCCTAAAGCTAGATATCATCTACTCTGCACCTCCCAAAGCACACGGTTCCTCTTTTATCACTTTTAAACCCCAAATTAGTTTTTGTGTATAGATGCCTTTTTTGTGTGGCGTAAGTCCCCTGTGGGCAGGAGCCCTGCCCCGTTTGTCTTTGTAGTCGGCATCGGCACTGGGCCTCACTGCTGGTAACACCTCTCCCTCAGTACGCGGTAGGGTCTGGAGGACCCTAACTCAGGAGGTGTGGAGGATGCAAAGAAGAGGAGGGTGGGACCCCAGCCCTGGCACACTGCCATACTAGTTTAGGCACTGTGCAGATTTATTATCAATAAATAGCTTCTATCCATCATGTCAAATTAAAAAAAAAGAAAAAGAAAGTTAATTTCTAGCATGTGCACTTTTTTTAGGTCCTCTCCTCGGCTGTTGTGCACTGCTATGAAACAGAACACTGGCCAGAACTTGGAAGAGGACACGGGTCAGAATGAACAGAAGACAGATGCTCCCTCTGCAGAGAAGATCCTCTTGGAAGAGAAGGTCAAGTTAGAAGAGCAGCTGAAGGAGACCACGGTAAGGCCGCACGGGCGCTGGTGGGGGAGGAGTCGTTGTCTGCTGAACTCCAGGTGAGTTCAGTTGTCTGTCCAAGGACGACAGTTGGGTCCTGTAGTAAGTTACTGCTAAAGAAGGGACTAGAACCCAAACCCTGTGCTGTGTGGCTCTGGTTCTGTCATGAGAATCATCTTTACATGCCACTTAGCTTATGTTGAATTAAGACTTAAAATGGTCTTTACATACGAGGGCTGCTCAGTATGGCAGTTTAAGCTGGGTCCTAGGGAGGACAAGGATTGGGGCCACGGGTGTGGGTGTGTGGTGCACTCGTTTCATGAAGAATTAGTAATGTGGGTTATTACTCCATGTGAAAATGCACACGTGGCACAGATCTAGTTCTTCAAGGATTTAAGAATGACAGTGCAAACAGTATGTGCTGACCGAACAGTATGTTCTAACATCTTTGTAGATATTAACTCTCACAGCAACCCTGTTTACAGCTGAGGAAATAGGCACAGAAAGGTTAATAAACTGCCCAAGGTCACCAAGTGCCAGAGCCAGGGTTTCAGCCTTGGGGTCCTTGGCTCTTATCCACTGCCCTGGAGTTGCCTGAGGCCTGAAACCAGATGGAGTGTCGCGGCCCCCAGAGTAAGACAGCACCCATTAAACACTGACAGGCTCAGATGAGTGCGAGTATGAGAAAAGTGGTGAGAAATGAGGCGGGTACCAGAATTCAGACATCACACAATGAATGTTTGAACTGAGCCATATCTGGGCAGCGGTAAAATACCAAAGATTGTAGCTCTTTGATGGGATAGCGGCCTGAACTGTCCGCCCAGCTATGTGGTTCTCCAAACCTCAAGGTGTGGGAACTGCAGCGGGTCGGCCCTAACCAGGGGGCTGGAGATTCTGCTGGAGGGGTGACAAGCTCCTCAGAACCTTGCACAAGAAAGTAGTGTTTGCCTTGTTCTTTCCATAGCTGTACACTGAGTAAGAATGGCCCTGGGGCTACATAAATGCACGTCACCTTCACATCTTACTCCCCACTCGCTGGAAATAGTGATGCGGGTGTAACTTATTTCTGCCTATTAAGCTACACTGTCTATAGTCTAAACTCTCAGATGTCATAATAGATGATATCTGTATTCTCACTGAGAGTTTATTATATCAGATTTGCTTTCCTATGAATTTGTTCCATACTTTATTCATGTAAATCCCTTTTTCTTCTTTTTTTTTAGGAAAAATATAAGCGAGCTTTGGCAGATACTGAGAACTTGCGGCAGAGGACCCAAAAATTGGTGGAAGAGGCAAAATTATATGGTAACTTGAAACATTATATGATACTGATCTAGACAAATCGGGGATAGGGGAGGCGGGGGTTGGGTGCTTATGTGAGTATCAAACAGCAAGACCAGCCAGGGTGAGGCACCTGCGGGCTGCGTCCCCTCCTGTTTTTAAGATGGGTCAGCAGAAGTCGGAGCCAAACTGGAGTTGTAAGGAGCATTTAGAGTTGTGTGTGTGATTCCTTCTAAGGAGGGCACTTCCGGTTCTTCCACACGGAGACTGCATGGTGACCCTGCAGGTAATTCTGGCAGCTCAGCCTGTCTGGTGTTCATTTCCTTAGCTACACCAGCAAGAACAGCCACACCACTGGAGATCTAAAATGCTGTCTGCGTCGTTACCTTTGGACATTTGTCACTGTCCTTCCCAGTTTACACTGGAGATCCTGAGGCTTACGTGACGTGCCACTCATCACAAAGCTGGAAAGGGCACCACGCCAAGGCTGGTGCTCCCCATGGGGCTTATTAAACCGGGGGCTACCGTTTGAGGACTTGGGTACCCCATGTGGGAGGTGAGGGACCTCAGGCTCACCATCAGGGTCCAGTTGCCAGTTTGAGCGCTCTCATGAGCCCTCACTTCCTTTCAGCATCAGAAGCATTTTTTTTAAAACCAGTTTCTGTTGATGTAAACACAGCCTTGAATTTTGAGTGACTTCTGATGTTCCAGCTGTTAGATTATGGTGAAGGCCTGGGGGTGTCTTGGAACTTCCAGCCCACGCTGCCAGGTAGTCGCTGACATCACCTGAGTTCTTAGCGTTTGTGACTTCGTCCTCATGACTACGCTGTGTGGTCCCATGTTTGAACTGAAGAAGCCGAGACCCAGAGGGGTTGGCCGGGGTCCCACCGCAGCTGAGGACCAGCCAGCTGGGCCCAGGCGCCCTGCCCTTCGCTCCTGCACAGCTGCCCGTCCCTGCCGGTGGCTGTCAGTGCGTGGACGGTGTGCTGTTGGAGTGCGCAACTTCTGGTCTGGAGCAGCGTCGATGCGGAGATGGCTCTGCAGATTATCAGCCGCCAGTCCTCATACCCAGTTAGTTCTTGTCTAGACCCAGAAAGGTTTTTGGCTGTTTACGTTTGTTTTCAACCAAGCTGTTGCAATCTTGGATGGGTGAGTGACAGGGCTTACAATTTTGAGTTGTCCACTCGGTTGATATGGGATGCAAATGATGTCCTTCTCTAACTTCACTTAGGCATTCAGAGCTTCTGCAAGGACTTACTAGAGGTTGCAGACGTCTTGGAGAAGGCGACACAGTGTGTCCCGAAAGAAGAGATTAAGGATGATAATCCTCACCTGAAGAACCTGTACGAGGGGCTCGTGATGACCGAAGTCCAGATCCAGAAGGTGTTCACAAAGCACGGCTTACTCAAGCTGGACCCGCTGGGGGCCAAGTTCGACCCCTACGAGCATGAGGCCCTATTCCACACCCCGGTGGAGGGGAAAGAGCCAGGCACGGTGGCACTAGTTAACAAAGTGGGGTACAAGCTGCACGGGCGCACCCTGAGACCCGCCCTGGTGGGGGTGGTGAAGGAAGCTTAGCTGCCTCTGAGGGCTTTGGTGGGTCGGGGGCAACCGTTGGCTTTACCTCTTGAAAGGCTTGTTCATCTTTTCTCATCTAAATACTCTTGAGTTTTTCCCAAACCTTGTTGGAAAGCGTTAGTGAGCAGTGGCTACGAGAAAATTAAGCCAACTGCACAGCTGCGTTACCGAACTCTAATTCAGGAGCCTGTTGGTTTTGGTTTTTAATACACATTTAGTAATAGTTCCATAAGCGTACAGAACAGGCCGATGGGAGACTACTGGGCCCTCAAGTACGTGAATAATGCTACATCACTCAAACTCTGGTGACGTCATTCCCAGTGAATAAAAAGGTCTGCGGGAATCCCGCTGTCTGACTGGCTGGCCTGCGTCTCGCTGCAGCGGGCGGGCTCCGGGAGTGCTTAGCCCAGCACGTTGCACTCAGTGAAGGGAGGCAAGAGTGGCTAAGAAAACCTGTATGCCCTGGTCAAGACCATGCGCTCGCTTATCACTGCTGTCCAGCTGCTGAAAAGGACCAGCTTTGGGCTTTTCCTTGGAGGTGTGCAGTGAGCAGACACACCTTAACCGTTCTCACCACCTTATTTTGCCAGTAACTGAATTTGAGAAAATCAGATACTTGACCCGTTTTGTTCATCTATTTGTAGAAATGTTTAAATCTTATATTCAGCTAGTTACTGATGACCTGAAAATATTTTCCTTAATAAGCTGGACTTTCTCAAAATCGGAGGACTGCATGCTTGGTAAATGTTAATGTTAAATTTTTAAATTTTATTTAAGAGGATTAAAGCCCTAAGATGTTTATTTTCCTACCTTCTGATAACTATGTTGTGTGCTTGGGTGAGTTCCTTACTAAGGAAAACATGACTTACCTTTCCCACTCTGCTCAAATCCTGAAGCTGTAAACGTGTCACACACATTAGCGTCCCTCTAGTGCAGCTGCAGGCTGGCACGTGACTGGGTACAGACGTGTCTGCCTGAGGACCCCGAAGGGGACCGCGAACACTCAGCCACAGCAAGAACACTCAGTCTGCTGGCTGTGACTCGCCGTAGGACCGTCCTCTGGCGACATGGGGCAGAGGGGAGCGACTGAAGTGTCTGCTATAACCAGGAAAAATAACCTTCCACTCCCTTTGCTGAGAGGTACTTTTAGGGTTGAAGGTCAATACTGTTAAGTCCATTACTGCATAAAAAAGCTGGGGCAGTCAGTTTAGCTTGGAAGGATAGAGGTAAGATTCCCATAATTAGTTTCAACTTACATGATTACAAAACATTTTTCTCTTTGCTTTTAAGTTGCCTTAAATTGGTAAAAAACACACCCTGCAACAAAAGGCAGCCCAGCCTAATATATTGAGAAAACAAATGACGGAGTTACAGCTCTACTTTTTTTGCTGGAGCTGTGAGGACATCTCACCTCCCTGGAGCTCATCTGTATGAGAAAGGCTACACCAAGTCCTCTCCAATAAGTCCTGAGGTGGTGCTGCCCCCCCCCCCGTTGCCCCCTCCCTCTCCAATGAGAGCTGCAGCTGCTCAGGTGCTCACCCTAGAGATTGGGCAGCTTCCTCACTGAGTGTCAGTCATCCAGTCACCACTAAAAAAGGAAAGCGTTTAATTACCTAGTAAGTCGTCACTTAGCATCCTCAACAGATTCTGCAACATCAAGCGAATCGACGTGTAACGAGATTGGGGTTGCTACAGGCCAGTTGACACAAGAGTTAGGTTCCCACGCATCCCCGTCAGCATTATAACGCCTCAAGGACCTGCTGTTCAATGTACCCTGGTAACCATCCCCGTTTCTGGGTTTGGCACACGTGCAGCCTGGATATACAGTAGTGTGCACAACACGCTCTACTTAGGCCTGCACAGCCGGGCTCCATGGGGCGTGCCTTTCTCTGGTGCGTCACTACTTGGGGGACAGGGGACATGAAAGAGTTCCTGCTTCACAGAAAGCAATTCTAACTCATTCGGAGGAAAGACTGGTTTGACAGACGTGTGGGGCTAAAACGTCACATGCTGTCCCCCAGCCTGTTTTTGAAAGCTGGCTCTGAAAAGCCATCAGCTCGAGGAGCAGTTAGTAAGAAGCAATCAGTTGACACTATTTGTTCTCAACTTGTTTAATATGTAAAAGGGCAATAAAAACGGTAGTCGGATTTCTGCTTTAATACATTCTTGGAATGTTGGCCATCCAGAGAGTATTCGAATAGCTGAGTTACCAAACTTGACTCAAAAGAGTTTAAATTCTGAAAAGACCTAATTCTGTGGGATTATGGTGACTAATTTACGGTGAGAAGTAAACGTAGAAATGTAAAGGCTCTGAGCTAACAGCAGGGACAAGGACTAGTGTGACAGTAATAATAGCTGGAATTGATGGGATAGAGGCAACTCATCACAAACTTACTTTTCCCTTGTAACAAGGTGTTAATACTTTAACATAAATTAATTATACATTCATTATGGTGTTTCAAAACAGTCAAGCCTAAATAAATTCTTCATACCCCCTAAAAGATACACATTCGAAAAACCTGCCTGAGCACAAAGTTTTTCATTTGACAGCTCTTGGCCTGGGCGACACATTTACAGGGATGTTTTGCTTCACAAGCTGAATGAAAGCGTAACATTTTATTTAAAAAGAAGACTAAATTTAAAACCTCAGTAAACTAGGCATCTGATGGAGAAAAGTTGATGATGACTAAAGCCAGTGGTTCCCAACCGTTAGCCCGGTCACCTGGAAGCCTTGTACAGACAGCTCCATGGGCCCCTCGCCTAGTTTTGGACTCAGGAGGGCTGGGCAGGGCCTGGGTGTCTGCATGTTAGTCGGTTCCCAGGGGAGGCTGATGCTGCCGGTCCAGGAATCCCGGGTGGGAACCACTGGCTAAACCTGTAACGCCTGAGCACCCTCTCCCTCACTGCTCAGTGCGAGACGAGTCCTGCTCTGTCCGCGGCAGCTACCCCGCAGGGGCCAGTGGAGGTGGCCCTGAGTAATACCACCGCTCCCGCTTTTCTACTGTCAGAGAAGTCCTGGGCTTAGTTAATGGAGCACGCCTCGGCCGGCGTGCACTGGACTTCGCGACTAAAGCCACATACAACATGTATGAAATGTTTTCTTTAATGCTGAAAATTTTACCCTAGGGGACAAAAGCATGTAAAAAGAAAGGAAAAGGCACCGTAATTAAGTCATCCTTGGAATTAATGAGTGTGGTGTTTTTCTTCCAAATCACTTTAATGTAACGTCAAGCCCAAACCTTCTGGGAGGTAACCAGTCTCTTGGTAGCTATGGGACTGGAGAGGCAGGGCCAGCAAGGGGTGGAATGAGTGCTGGGTCTACGGTCACTCCGCGGACTCGAAAGCAGGGTCTTGGACATGAGACCCCTGAGCAGCAGGAAGACAAATGACTAACTCAAGTTGCAGAAGGAAGGTACCATGGAGTCCATGAAAGAGGGCCCCTGAAAAAAACGTCTAAACAGGGCTGCCAGAAGCCACATCTGAGTCTGGTTTAAGACAGTGACCCAGAGAAGCTGCCCCATCTCACCTGGCTGGTCGCAGAGCGCCTGGCGCCACCGGAAGTTAAGATGCTTAGCCAGGCCAGCTTGGTCAGAGTTTCCGTGAAAAAGGGTACTTGCAAGGGTGATCGAGGTCCCGGAGGTGGCCAACGCCAGCACTTAGAACGCTTGGCTGTGAACTTCCCGACCTCTTGCATCGCAAATGCACGGCAAGTACCCAAAGCAGCCAGCAGCAGCAGCCCCCAGGAGGGCTGGCTGAGCTGTGGCCATGCACGCGGGTCCGGTGTGCTCCCGCTGACGGCTGCCCGCCCGCCCGGGGACTGCCCTTCCCATAGTGAGCCGGCGGGCTCTGCCCAGAGCGCGCACGGCAAGGGGCGCTGTGGGCACTACAAGTTCCAACTCCGCCACTGCCAGCAGTTAAAGGGAAGCTCGTTTGTGTTCAACACCAGCTGCCTCTGGAAGTTCCAAGGATGCCTCATCCTGTTCTTCGGCCTCACTCCCTACCTGCCCCGCCGCCATCTAAAGTGCCACGTGCCACAGGGTACAGCTGGTGGCTGGCGGGCCAGCCAGGAGTTGCTCCTTTTACCCACAGCACAGTAACATGTACCAAAGGGAAGAAACGCACAAGAGGATTCTCTAATCTCATCGTATTCTCCAAACTGAACACATTAAAGGCGAATCGTCATCTTAAAGTATGACTTTCAGGACTAAGGTACAATATACATGTATTTGCTTCCCCCATGATCTGATAATAGGATTGTTACTATTGCTTCTTTCAGAGGACCATGAAAAGACTTTATATCCTAGAAAAGGAACTCAATTTGCTTAAAAAAGAGCAACAACGGGGAAAAAAGCGGTTCGCCCCCCCACCCCAGCCCCAGCCGTTTGGGCTCACAGGCGGCGTTGGCACCCCTCTCCCTCGGCGGCAGAGGGCGCGCCTTCAGGACGCATCCCTGGATATCCACCCGCTCTCCGTGAGGAAGTTTAAAATCCTTTTCTTGAGGACCTTGTCCAAGTAACCAGGAAGGCGGCTTTTGGAGGGGATTCCTTGGCGTTTCTGGAGGTGGTCTTTGATGATGATGGTCTTCACAGTCACGTAGCGAGCGGGGCTCAGGTTGAGAGAGCTGCAGAGCAGCTTCTCGCGGTCCGACAGGAGCTCGAAGCCCGGCAGGTTCTCGATGGCGGCGAACTCGCCGTCCTTGCCGTCCTCCCGGCCGCGCTTGGCGCCCGCGGCGCTCTTGTTCTCCTTCCGCTTCTCGCGCTTGTGCCGCGCCGCCTCGTACTCGGCCGACTCCTCCATCTTGGTGATGCCGTTGCGCCGGTACCGCTGCAGCTCGCGGATCTTGGCGCGCAGCATCTTCTCCTTGTGCATGTTCTCGAACAGGTCGTCGAACTCCTTGCAGGACATGAACTGGTAGAGCGGCCTGAGCTTCAGCCGCAGCTCCTTCTCCTCCTTGGTGACCTTGCGCCTGGCCGCCTTCTCCTTGTCCTTCTTGTCCTTCCCCAGAAAGGCCGGCACCAGGTTGTAGTCGCGCGCGATGTTCTTCCGCCGCTGCCGCTCCCTGAGCTTGCGCACGTACATGTCCACGTGCGCGCGCTTGAGCTCAATCTCCACGTCGTCGTCGTCGTAGTTGACCGAGAGCCCGCTGATGAGCGTCTCGGCGTCCTGGTCATACTCGATCTCATAGTCGTCGCGCAGCGGCATGTAGCCCAGCTGCTGCTGCTCGGCCACCGAGATGTCTAGGGGAGGCAAGGGGGTAGTGAGGCTGGGAGACAGGGGGCCTCCACTGGGGCAGGTGTGGTCTGTCACCCGATTGGGGATGGTGTCGGGGATGCAGGCCTTCCCCAGGTTGCCGTGGATGTACATGCTTACGTAATGCTCCATCACTTCCTGGGGAGTCCGGGAAGCGCCAACGTGAGCAGCCATGTCTTCCTACAACGACAAGGGCCAGAGTTATTTCCAGTCACAGGGGCGGACTCAGGGTCTGCAAACCTCCCCTAACGTTTTCGCGAAGGTCACTTGGACGGCTTCCTATCATCATCATTACCCGCCTCCTAAGACAGTCGCCGGCATGTTCTCTCGGGTGGGTCTTATCACCTGCGTGTCAACGCGAGAAGGAACCTCCAGGGGTTCAGTTCAGAGCAAAGCGAAGATCCAGCGAGACGCACGCTTGCCCGGGGGCACGGCGAGCGGGCGGCAGAGGAGACCAGAAGCCCGGCTGACGTCCAGCCTGTTCTCCTGGTTCCTTCAAGAGGCCCCGCGCAAGCCGTGCACACTCGCGGGCGCGCCGTGTGTCTGGAGTGGGACAGGACACGGGTGGGCAGAGCCACAGAGCGCTGAGGGGCCCTGCTCCCCCCAGTCCAACCTCTTCATTCCAGACCAGGGAACAGACTCGCCCGGAGCTAAGGCCAGGCCCCCAGTCCCGGAGGGCCCCCTTTCTACAGGGCTGCCCGCCTCCCGGAACAGTTGCGGCTGAGCCTCTGTTTGACACTCCTCGGGGCCGGGAGGGCCACCCTGTCCCTTTCCTCAGTGGCGATGCCGGTGACCAGGTAAGCGCCTTTATTGGGGGGAGGGGGACCTTTACTTCTAACGACCTCCACACTTAGGTAGCTCTCTGAAAACCTGCCCGCGGCTGCAAGCACTCACCCCCACGGGAAGGTAACCATGAACACCAGGGTTATTAATGGGAGGAAATCGTACAGCTCCCTCAATCTTTTCCTTCTGCTAAGAGGCCTCTTCCTTCAAGTCAACCGCTAAAGCCACTTCAGAAAGCAGCTGCCGGGAATGCGCGCTCATCCACCCAGCAGCCTCCTAGCGCAGCGCCCGGGGCCGGCACTCACCCTTCACTCTGCTCCCTGCTGCCTTCCGTCCCGGCAACACCACCCCTACAAGATAGGGGTGGTCACTGCACCCTCAAAGGCCCAACTGGAACCCAAGAAGCCAGCCAATCCATTCAGGCTGACTGCTTATGACGAAGTGGGCATTGTGCCGAGGGGCTATTCATGGTACAGTGACCAGACCCTGCATCTGGGGCTCATCTCCGCACACGGAGTCGTGGGGGCGCTGTGGGGGCGCTATTCCCACCAGGCGCTGGGGCGCGGAGGGCGGGGCTTAAAAGCACAGGAACAAAGAAGGCAATAGTGGAACCTACCGTGAGAAAAGGGAAGATCACAACTAAAACTGGATTCTGCTCTTATGGGGATGAACTGTTTACACGATTTTTTCTTTTAAAAAATCACTATGAACATCCAATCTGTTCACTGTATGTTCCCAAGAGGCATTTGGTCCAAAAAATTAAACAAAACCAAGTCACAACCATCCCCAGGATCTACTGCCACTCTGTGTGACCCAGGACAACCACTTCCCATCTCTGAGCCCCAGGTCTTCACCAGAAAAGGAGCGGGGAGTCGTTCCCAGTCACCCCCATAATTAAGAGCCCTGTCAGCAGAGAAGAGACGTGTAAAGGCTTCACACACTGCAATGGGCTTTGCACAAGTCCCCACGTGTACAGCCGCCAGGGAGGGGCTGGTGGGCGTTAACACTCTTCCAGCTACCCCATCCTGGCCAGGAAGCCCCCATGAGCTACACTGGCACACATGGTCCTTTCGAGAGGAAAGGACGCTGGCACAGACATCTGGAGGGCAGGCGCCAGGCAGTGGCCATGGTGGTGGCGCCCGGCCGATTGGCTTCTTCAGTCCCTGCCCCGCACAGCTCGGGCCAAGGCTGCAGCCACTACAGATTCAGAGTCCAGTTTCCAGGAAGCCTCCCAGGTGAGGAGGCTGGGTGCCCCACACCCAGGTTTCATGGTCAGGAATTTGGCCCCGGCCTTGGCCCCTCCCTGGTTCAGTGGGAAGACCTGCACTGAGAGGTCAGGGGGACGGACGGGGGGCCCTAAGGAGCGCCAGCTGCCTCCCAGCAAAAGCCTGCGGCTCACCCTGAACCTCAGCAATCCACCTTCCGAAAAGCATCAGTTGCTCAAGAGCACCCCATTTGGGATAGAATTTAAATCCTGAAACAAGTAATAAAGTGGCATCAGACCAAACCGAGATTGTGTTCTATTCATTTCCATCCTCTTTAATTCTCTGGGGACAGAGCAGAGAATGCTGGCAGCAAAGAGGCCTCCAGGCAGGTCAGCGCACTGGCACCTCTGGCCTCCCCGCCAAGCGTTCTGCAGGCTGCGTGCATGGCATCCTCTGGACCGGACAGCCAGGTGAGCCAGCCGTGGGCGCTGTGCTGACACCTCGCTTGTCCAGGTCCTCTTTAGGTAACAAAGGGGACTCTGCTCTCAGATGATATTTTGAAGCCACAGATCAGAAGGGCTAGGGCCCCGTCACCGGGAGCCCAGGAACTCCCATCATCAAGCAACCTGAGCCACTGCCTAAGAACAGCTGAAGAGCCATCGCTAGGAGACCACTGGCCACCAGCTACTTCTGAGATGACTCCCCCCGGGGGCCACCGTATTAGTTTGATGATCAATGAACAAGGCCCAGGAACACATACAAGAGCCTAATTTTCAAGGCCTCTGAAACAGAGAATGAGGGTCATAATGGTACAATCGAAACGAGAGTGACGACATGGCTCTGATTCTAACAAGAATCCACAGAGAACAGACAGGTTCGGTGAAGCTAAATTACAGTGAGGAAGCTATTTACAAAGCTGATTTAAACAGCACCAGCTACGGCACTCCTGCCTCGTGCCTGGCATTCTGCTGTCACATTCTAAACGTTTTCTCCAATCTTCATGTGCTAATGGTCACAGAAGACTCCCCTGCTCCTGTGAGAGAGAAGTGTCCTGTCAGCACATTACAGCGTCACATATGACAGCAGCAGCCTGACTGGGAGGGCACTCTTTCCCTAACATGTTCCAAGGTCAGAGCGTCTGCCTAACCCGGATGGAAGGATGAAAGGATGGGAGGATGGGAGGATGGACGGATGTGAGGGAGGCAGGGGATGCAGAAGCAACAATAGTGGGCTTGGGGAAATGAGATTTGGAGAGAAGGTTCAACTCAAGTACAACTAAAATTAAACAGGAACACAAGTATATACTGAAGTGGGTTTTCCCACCGCAGCACGCAGAAACACACGGGGAAGTAACCCAAAGCCTACAGAAAGAGGGTTCAGGTTGGTTTTTCTTCATGCTCTCTTAAAAAAAAAAAAAAAAAAAAAGATTCCCATCTTTGGGAAAACATAGAGAGGTTGGCATGCTGCTTCCTTAAAGTCCTTTGGGGGAAAAAGGGGAGACGTGCCTTTAAGACGCCCAACTAGGCCCATGAGATCCACTCTGAAGGTTGCTAGACTGAGGCCAGGTCGCTGCCTCTCGGGAGAGATGAGCTTCCCAGTGAGTAGTGACTGCCAGGCTCTCTGGCTGGCCTGGCCTCCGTCCGGCCTTTTCATGGCTCACTTGTGCCGGCCTCCAGCACCTGAGCAGGGAAGGAAGACGAGAACAGGACAGAGATCGTCCGCCCGGGTCGGCCGGCTCCCGCCAGTGGGGCTCGCTCAGGGTTTCTCTCCTCCCCACCCTGGCCAGGCCTGCCTCCACCCGTTCTGACAGGGACGTCTCCACGCCAGGACTCAAGGGCCCCTCCTGCGTGACAAACCTTTAGAGACTCCCATCAGCAAGCCCACTGCCTCTCACACCGGCTGGCCTGTGATCAAGGGTGAAATTTTACAACATAAGGACCATGTAGGTTTTCCTGAAAGTGAAATTTTTCCATTTAAAAGATCATCTTTCATCCCAAGATCACACATCCTTCCTATTTGGGGAATAGTAAGATAATCTTTCTTTGTGAAATGGTGATAGATAATTAGATCTTTACAAGTTTTTATAATATCCTTACTTGGCAAATTTGAAGTCAGCAATTCTATATTAGCTTTCAAAATACTTTCTTTCACTATGACGGTCTACGAAATCGGAAGGTCAGAGTAGCACTAACCTGTCAGGGTCAGCCAGACCCCGCAGTGTGCTTTCCAAGGCCCTTGCCGACCTGCTGTTGGCCCCAGCCAGACCCACACGCCCTGCCGTTCCCCATCCCTGCTGGAAAAGCCCTTTTCTCTGTGCACAGGCTCTGGGGCCAGCCTTTGGGGTGCCAGGCCTGGCTCCGCCCCTTATTAGCTGAGTAACTTGGACAAAGTACTCAGCCCCTCGACTGAACTAGAGGTAACACTACTCCCTACTGCACAAGACGGTTAGGAGTAAGTGAGGGCACACTACACTGTGGCCGGTGCCAGGCACACCCTGCGCCCGGGCAGTGTGGGCCATTACTACTTCCAGGAAGCGGGTAGCTGCATTTCCACAATCTGTATTTATCGCTCAGGACCAGGTCACCTCCTCCAGGAGGCCCCCGACGATTCCCAGAGTCGGGTTCAGATTCTGGCTCAATCACATACAGTTCTAAGATCCTCTGAAGTCTTGCTTCTTGCTCTTCTAAGCCCTCTGCCTGCAGGGTTTTGCCAGGATAGAGGGACAGTCACGTACCAAGAACAGCACGTGAGCCCTTTCCCCATACCATCGCATGGTCCTCCTAGCAATCCCCACGAGGTCGTGTGAGTGTTCCATGCACAACGCACAAGTTAGGAGAACAAACTCAGGCTGAGCTGCCTCCAGGGCACAAGGCCAGTAAACTCGAGCCCGAGCCTGTCTGAATGGCGGGCAGCCCCACTGCAGAACACCTGTCCCTGTCACCACGCTGCCTCTCGCGGGGCAGAGGTGATACAGGCGCACTGAGCGGAGGTCCCTGAGACCAAATGCTTCCTGATGCCCTGAAACAGCACAGCCGGGCCAGACTCCAGGCTGCTTCTGTCCTGGAAGAGTGGCCACGCCTCTCACGCAGCCAGCTCCCACTGCAGCCTCTGGGGTCTGTGAGGGGCCTGAGGGGCCCTGCAGTACCTACATCTTCCCTGGGCAGAGTCCAGCCTTCGGGGCACTGCACTATC